TGGCCTTGAATGTGAATCGGAGGGATTATTCAATTATCATCCCATTTGGTGCTTCTGATATGATGCCTATTTTGTTGTCGCTCAAATTAAAGGTTTCATATACTAATATTATACACACTTCCTGCTCATTGTTTCTCTACATGTGTGTTGGGTCAAGGGTGAGTTTAGCCATGAAATCAACTAAGAATTGGGTTTTTATCGAACCTCGTGGTTCATATGATATGTCATACTCGGATAACTCTACTGCCCATTTGACCATTAAGCCAACCAGGTCAGGTTTACACAACACATGTGTTAATAGGTAGGTTAGTTTTTATCACAATAGAGAAATTTTGGAAATAATATCGTAACCTTGGGGTGATTACTACAACTGTCAATGTTGCTCGCTCTAGTTTCTAATATCTTCCACTACTAAAAATTCTCATTTTTCATGGGAATATTTTTACAAAGTTTTTGTAAAAATTGCAAGAAATAAGATTTTTTATAAATTTAAACAATTTTTTGCAAGAAAATTAGCAGAAAAAAACTAGTTTTCTAGTAGTGTTCTCTCTGTTGGTTATAGAACCCTGTTGACGAAATAAATTGGCCACATTACTTCATTAATCTCTTGAGTTAGGGTCGAACTCATCGCTCGGTCTGTGACCATTATGCATAGTTAGAATGCGTTCCACAACTCTGGCTTTGATAGGATAGGGGGATGAGACAAAATTTCCTTTAAGGCTATGAAGGCCTGTTCACTTTTGTTCGTCCACGTAAATTGCTTGTTTTTTTATAGGCACTAGAAATACGGAAACCCCTAATCTCTCCCTTTCGATAGGAAACACAAGAGTGAAGCCATCATACCCAAGAGTTGCTGAACTTCCTTTGCATTTGAAGGGATTCTCACGTTGATGATGACCGAACATTTCTCTAGGTTTGCTTCGATGCCTCTATGGGTAAGCATGAAGCTTAGGAATTTACCATATCAGATGCCGAATACACATTTTTTTGGGTTTAATTGAGGTTGAACTCGTGTAGGGTGGTGAATAGCTTGGTGAGGTTCTCAAGGTGGTCGCGGTGTATGGCCGATTTCACCACTATATCATCCACATATGACTCCAAGTTGTTACCAAGGATTAGGGCAAGGATTTTGTCCATCTGAGTTTAGTATGTTGCCCCAACATTTTTTAATATGAATGGCATAATAGCAATAATTTTTTTATTCGTCCATAAAAGTTGTTTTGTCCTCATCCAAGGGGTGCATGAATATTTGGTTGTAGCCAGAGTACACATTCATGAAGCTTAACAATTGACATTCGAATGCGTTGTTTACAAGGTTGTATATATTTGGGAGAGGATACAAATCCTTTGGGCAAGCTTTGTTAATGTATGTGGTATCCATGCACATTCACCATTTCCCTGATGTTTTCTTTACCATCACCACATTAGACACCCAAGTCGAGTATTGTATTTGGCGGATGTGACCGACGTTAAGTAGTTTTTGAGTTTCCACTTTAATTGTCTGATGTTTCTCTATCCCGAATTTCCTCTGTCATTGCATCATTAACCTTACTTTGGGGTCAATGGCGAACTTATGGCATAAGAAAGTAGAATTGATACTTGGGATGTCACATGCGGTCCATGTGAATACCTGTATGTTTTCCCTAATAGGATATTATAGGATGAAGGTGACTTGACGACCAATTATTTTATGGTGATAGTCTTGGCAGCTTGCTTCGACCCAAACATCGTTCGAAGCTCGGTATATCCCCGAACTTCAACCTTCTCTCTTGAGAAACTAACCAATACAAGTTCCTACTCATCATCACCATCGTTACTACTACGAGGTCATCCTAGTGGGGGATGATGCCTTCAAGATCTTCGAGCAAGAAGGTGATCGAGCGTCGGTTGCTCAGTGGTCGTTTCCCCTCATGGGAAACCTGACACTCATTCGCGGTAGCCCTTGTGTATTGTTTTCTTGTCGAACTGGTGGATCCCCCTGCAAAACCCTTCGACGATGGTGTAGACCTCAAATTTTGAAGCAGAAGACTTTCGTTCGAAGATGGACAAGGCCTCAAGGGCTCCTAGGCATGTTCACTAGGCTCCATGTAAGAATAGGAAAGCTTTTCTGTGCGAAAAAAAAAGAAAATAGGAAAATTCTGACAGGAAGCCCCAGAAGGTTGTCTCGGATTCCCACACGGCCGTCTCGTTTTTCCTTGAGGCGAGACAACCGTCTCGTTTTCCCAAACGGCCGTCTCACTTTTCCTTAAGGTGAGATGACCATCTCGTTTTCCCAGACGGTCGTCTCACTTTTCCTTGAGGCGAGATGACCGTCTCGAAATTTCAAACAATCGTCTCACCTGTCAGAAGCCCAGATGGTCGTCCCGACCTGCCTAGCGCGTTTTTCTATAAATAGGAGCCTCATTCCACCCATTTTCACACACCATTCACTCCTACCACTCTTTAGGAAGCCTTTTGACACTTTAGAGTGACTCCGAACATTTTTCCAGAGTTTGAGTGAGCTTTCCAATTTTCATTAAGGTAGAAATCGGTAAGGATGTCTCCTTTTTTTGAGACATTCGGCCCTCGGTAGGGTGATACCTTTATTTTTTTATCGAGGGAGGAGTGTCTCTGTAGAGTGCGAAGACTGCCAAAAAGCATCCTCAAGTTCAACATTTATGAAAGCTTGCTCGGAGATTCTCTTTCATATCTCTTCTCTTTTATTGCTTTCTTTTACTATTTTTCTTGTATGCATTAGATATTAAGATCATGTAGATAACTATTTAAATTCTGTAATAAATAAATAGGGTAGAAGCATAATTTTTTATTGTCTTTATTTTAAGAATAGTTCATCATAGGGAACCCGAAAGGGGCGTTGTGGGGGTGCTAATACCTTCTCCACACGTAACTAACTCCTTTACCCGACTTTGATTGTAATGGCCAAAGTTGGTTTTTCTAAACCAATGTCTTCCTTTTTTTTTTTCTTTTTCTGATGTTTTTGGTAAAAATATTGGTGACGACTTCATATAACCCTTTTCGAAAACCTCATTCTTAAGGTCAGTCCGGTTATCGAACATCTTAAGAATGTTGACCATCTTTAAAAAACGCGAGTTATCAAAACTATCGTGTCGCTCTGACCGCCTCTTTTCGACGGCAGTGACAGATGGTATTAGAATCCCCGAGTATAGGTCTCTGGTGCTCACCTTTATCTCTTTGTTTCAGGTTTCCAGACTCCTCATTCTTGTCTCATTTGGAGTAATGTTGTAAGCATTCTTGGTGAATTAACTCTTCTATTTGCTTTATTAAAAAATAGCATTTTTCTGTGTCAGAACCTTAGGTGCAGTGGAACTCGCGTTTGGAGTCTTGATTAGGACCTAAGGGTCGGTCCACCCTTTTAGGATAGGGGAACAACTTTGTCATGTTGGCATCTTTCAATATTTGTTTGGCCGTCATGTCAAGAGGGATGCGTATATCCCTCAATAATTGACATTTTCCTTCCTCTGGTTGGGCATATGGGTTGTTGTACCTTCAACTAGTGTTTCGTTGTTTGTTACTACTCCTCCTCCAATTATCTTCTTGTCTTTCCTTGGTTCGTCTTTCTTCTGCCCTTTCGCAACTCATAACTTCTTCTGTCTTGATGTGAGAAACAACTCGAGATCTAAACTCTGACATGGTTGCTACTGGTCTCTAAATCAACAATTCACCAAAGGGACCTGATCTCAATCCTTTCACGAAAGCGTAGATGAACATCATTTTGTCAGGCTGAGGAACTCTCAATGTTACCCTACAATAGCGCTTCAGGTACTGCTTTAATGATTTTGTGCTTTCCTGCCTAATATCGAAAAGGTCGCTCAAGCAAGATGACTTAAGTCTATTTGCTACAAATTGGGTTATGAATAAATTTGTTAACTCCTTGAATGATGTTATAACTTCATTAGGAAAGTTGTTGAACCAATATAGAGTTGTTGTAGTGAGCATGCCACAAACATCTTACATTGTACTCCATCGAATCCTCTACGAATTAACATTTAGGCTTGAAAATTTTTTTAGTGGGTCATTAGGTCACTCGTATCGTCAAAATGATTGATCTTCGACATAAGATAATGAACAAAAATTGACTCATTCATAATGGGTTAAGGTAAAAACAAAATTATTCTTAAGAAAAAAAAAATTGATATGAAGCAACCCAATTATAATAAAAAATTTAATTGTTAAAATTAATGTATTCTCGAACATGGTGTCACTATTCCTCCTTTTTCTGTTTGTGAACTAGTCATTCTCCCGATTTTGTATTATTTAACAAGAGTAATATTTGTCTCCCTATTTATATGTTTTGGGCATGGAGAGGTATTAAAGCTTGGGATGTGTAAGACGGAACTTGAAAACTGTTCTGCAACTTTCCATTTTAAAAATGTTTCAATTTGTTAATTTAAACAACTTCTCTCTTATCTTCCATTTAACTCATCAGATCTCAAAATATTTCACAGTTACTTGTTTAATAATTTATTAAAAAAATTCTTTTGTTACCATTTCTATTTTCTCCAAATTATATTATATAAATTTATTGATGAGCTCGCACAATGCATAGATTAATTTCTAGTTACTTACATTTCCCCTTTATTTCTTTTCACAGTTTTTTTTTTTTTAAATGGGTTAGCAAATATTTTGTTTTTATTTTTATTTTCCTTCTAAGTGTCGACTGATGGAGTCACGTGGAAGAAAAATATTTAGCATTTCAACATTATATTTAGACAGGGACGGATACAAGGGGGACGAGCATGGCCCTGACCCTCCTTCTTTCAAATTAATGATGAGATTGTAATTTCTGTTAAATTATGTGTATTTCAATGTCATATCTCACCATTAATATTTATTATCAAAGTTTATTTATTTATTTTTTTCATTTAAACTATTTCTGGATCCGGGAATCCATCAGGCAAACGAGTGTACCAAAAAAGTTGACTCAGAAACAGTGTTTTGCTTCTCCGATCTAATTTCTGGTGTTCGCGTTTGTGACAACTATGGCCGAATCGTTCCTTTTCAGCATCGCAGAGTCACTCATAGCAAAGCTTGCTTCTCATGCTTTTGAAGAAGCTTCTCGAGTGGTGGGTTTATACGACAATCTTCGAGACCTTAACAACACTCTCTCTTTAGTCAAGGCTGTTCTGTTAGATGCTCAGAGAAAACAGGAGCACAACCATGAGCTGCTGGAATGGCTCACTCAGCTCAAAACTGTCTTCTCCGATGCCGAAGATCTGTTGGATGAATTTGAGTGCCAAACACTGCGAAAGAAAGTGGTCAGAGTTCATGGTAACACCAAAGTGAAGGTAAGTCACTTCTTCTCAAGTTCTAATCCACTTGTTTTTCGTTACAAGATGGCTCAAAAAAGTAAAGATCTCACCCAGAGACTAGATAAGGTTGCTGCTGACAGACATAAATTTAGTCTTCAAATAATTGATGTTGATACACGTGTAGTGCATACTAGAGAAATGACACACTCCCGTGTGAGTGATTCAAATGTGATAGGAAGGCAACAGGATAAAGAAAAGATCATAGAGCTTTTGATGCAGCAGAATCCTAATGATGAAGATACTAGTCTCTCTGTTATCCCCATTGTGGGGATTGGAGGCTTGGGAAAGACTACACTTGCAAAGTTTGTGTTCAATGACAACAGGATCCAGGAGTGTTTCCCATTGAAGATGTGGGTGTGTGTTTCTGATGACTTTGACATTAAGCAAGTCATTATTAAAATCATCAATTCTACCAATGATCTTGCTTCTGCTGATGTTCCTCCTCAGCAACAGAATTTGAAGATGATGGATCTGGAGCAATTGCAAAATCAACTGACAAACAAACTTGGAGGTCAAAAGTTCCTACTCATCTTGGACGACGTATGGAATGAAGACCGTGTTAAATGGATTGAGTTGGAGAATTTATTACAAGTGGGAGCTGCAGGAACAAAAATTCTAGTGACCACACGTAGTCATTCGATTGCTTCCATGATGGGCACAGTTCCCTCTCACATATTAGAAGGCCTTTCTCAGGAGGATTCCTTGTCTCTCTTTGTTAAATGGGCCTTTAAAGCAGGAGAAGAGGAAAAGCATCCTCGGTTAGTAAAGATTGGCAGAGAAATTGTTAAAAAATGCAGAGGGGTTCCTTTGGCTGTGAGAACATTAGGGAGTTTACTATTCTCGAAATTTGAGATGAGTGAGTGGGAATATGTGAGAGATAATGAAATTTGGAATTTGCCTCAGAAAAAAGATGACATTTTACCTGCTCTTAAATTAAGTTATGATCTCATGCCATCCTATTTACGGCAATGTTTTGCATTATTTTCCCTTTACCCAAAGGATTATGATTACTTCAATAGTTTTGAGGTTACTACTCTTTGGGGGGCACTTGGACTCCTTGAATCTCCAAAACAGAATAGTACACTGGAAGATGTAGCCAATCAGTATTTGTATGAACTAATATCGAGATCTTTTCTTCAAGATTCTGTCAATCGTGGCACTGTGTTTGAATTCAAAATACATGATTTGGTGCATGATCTTGCTCTATTTGTTGCAAAAAATGAGTGTCTATTTATAAATTCAAACGTTCAAAGTATTCCTGAGAATGTTCGGCATCTGTCTTTTGCTGAAAGCAGTTTGTTGGGCAATTTATTTACCAAAAAATCAGTAGCTGTGAGAACCATTATGCTCCAAAACGATACAGCAGGATCCAAAGGTGAATCTTTTCTAGATAATTGTGTGTCAAAGTTCAGATACTTGCGTGTTTTGGATTTAAGATATTCGACATGCGAGACTGTGCCACGTTCAATCGGTAAGTTGAAACACTTGCGATATTTCAACATTATGCATAATCTCAACATTAAGAGACTCCCCGATTCTATTTGCAAGCTCCAAAATTTGCAAGTGTTGAAACTTGACGGATGCGTGGAGCTGGAAGCATTGCCCAAAGGATTAAGAAAAATGATAAGTCTACGGCATTTGGAGATAACCACAAGGCAATATGCTTTGCCTGACAATGAGATTGCGAACTTGGGCATGCTTGCGAATCTGTCTATTGAATCAAGCCATAATCTGAAGTCTATCTTCGAAGGGGTGAAATTCCCTGCCCTCAAAGCATTTAATGTTACTGACTGTCAAAGTCTAAAGTCCTTGCCACTAGATGTCAAAATTTTTCCCGAATTAGAAACTTTGATTGTTGAAAACTGTGGTAATTTAGACTTGGAACTGTGGAAGGGCCACCATGAAGAACAAAGCCCCATGCCGAAGTTAAAATCTGTTGAATTTTTAGATTTACAACAGCTGGTGGTCTTGCCTAAATCGCTTCAAGAAACTGCCAACTCGTTACAGTTCTTGTTTATCTCAGACTGTTACAATCTTGAAATGCTTCCGGAGTGGCTACCAACTCTGACTAATCTGAAAACACTTGCTATCACAGATTGTCCAAAGTTGCTATCTCTCCCAGATAACATCGATCACCTCACCACACTTGAAAGCTTGAGGATTGAAGATTGTCCTGAATTATGTAGAAAATGTCAACCCCATGTTGGAGAGTTTTGGCCCAAAATATCACATATCAAAGACATTGTCATTGAACAAGCAGAAGAATTAGAGGAAGAGGAATGCTTTATTGACAGATAAGAGTTGAAACCCCTTATTTTTCTATTCATTCTTTTCTGGGGGATTTTCCACAATGTAGATGGTTGTATTTTATGGTTTTCTTCTTAATGAAAAAGGAAGATTATTTGAAAATCATTTTTTGATGATCTCCGTTAAATGATAGTTAGGTAGATAAGTAAGAAATTTTGTATAAAGCCAAATAATCTAATATTTGAAAGTAAAAATAATCAATTATGTTAAAATTAAATATGTATTAATTGTTTAGATAAGTACTTAATTGATTATATAATTTAAAATCATGTTTTCTTAGCATGCACTAATAATCGATTATATGGTTACTTGGATTATGTGCCTAAATATCTGTTTTAACATAACACGTTAATAATCGATTATGTTGGTACCTAATTGATTATATAGCTTATTTTCGGACTATTACTGCACGTAAATAATCGATTAGATATTTTGCTAATCGATTATCTAAGTCAGTTATAATATTTTTTTCTATAAAAGGATGTAAACTTTCTTTAATCATATATATTTTTTAGAAAAAAAAATAACAATAAGAAAGAACATTGTGGGCATCAACAAAAGTGTGTGATTTTGTAAAATGTTTCGAAGATCAAATTCAAGGAAAATGTTTTTTGGATATAAGATGAAATCGTTTCTTATCTTTCTATTGTAAATCTTGTATTGAATTTTGATGTATGTGAGCAGTTTAACTTGAAAATAGTTTGGATAAACATTTTCAAGTATTGAGATCTTGATTAAAAATTGTTGTAAGTCAAGATTATTAGATTGTGTTGTAATATGTTTTAATGAAAAACTTCAGACTAATGTTGCTTAATTAAAGCTGGATGTAGATTCATAAATAATCGTATAAATTTTTGAGTTCTTTTCTTTTTCTCCTTATTTTCATGTTCTCGTTTTCTTAATAATGTTATAATTCTTTTATATTTGATTGTCGAAAAAAAAATTAATAATTAATTAGAATTGGAAAGTTTTTGAAAACTCAATTCACTCACTTTTTGGGTATGTCCTATTATTAACATTTTTATAACAACTGAGTTCAGAATTAGGTTATAATCTTATTTGAAAATTCAATTCACCCCATTCTTAATATGTTTCTGCCATTAACATTTTTATAACATTTATTAGTATGCTTTTCACTCTCTTCTTCAGTTATCACTTCAAAAATTATAGATATAATTTCTCTATTACTTATTTATATTTATTAAATATATTTAATATAAGTAATTTAATTTAATGAATTTATTATATTATTAATAAAATATTAATTTAAATTTAAAAAGCGAATACCATTGTAATCTATTAGATTATAAACATATGATATGCTATGGTTCCTAGTGCACCAAATTAAAATTCAGTTATTCACCTTTCACTTTTCTCATTATTATAATATAATAATGTGTTTTATGCTCATTTAATATTTTGTAAGATTAAATTAAAATATTTAATATAATTTTTTTATTTCCCCATTTTCTTTCATGAAGTTAAATTCTTTTAGGAAAAACATTTCAATTTAAAAGCTCCACTACATTTAATAAATTTTTTCTTCTTATTTTATATGTGATGTTTTTTTTCTATGATTTACATTGATAAATACAACTTTTATTTCATATATTGTGATATTCGAGTATATATTATTTATTTTTATATTCAAATGCTAATTAATTAGATAATATATTTAGTAAACAGGTGGAAGACTAACTTTTTTTTACTTGTTAAATAAAAATAAACAATAATTTATTTAATGAACAAAATTACTTAACTCTCGATGCTTATTCTAAATGGTGTACTTAATTAACTATCTCATAAAGTAGGGTTTAGGTTTAGGCATCTTAATAAGTTTAACATGACAAGCGAATCCAAAAAAAATTAGGCCAATTATGTATATTAATTTATTACAAGAATAAATATAAAAATAATTCTTTAGTTATTTTAACGTAAGATGAATTATTATTTTAAATTATTAAATATAAATTATGATAATAATAAATAAATTTTTAATTTTTATTTCAAAAATAATGAATAGGTTTATTTTTTAAAATTTATATATTAAATTAATATATTTAAAATAAAAATTAATTTTATTAATATAATTTACATTTTTGGTATTTAAATATTACCCTCTTTTTTAATTTTCAATATGATAAAAATTAGTTAGTTGACTTAACATATAATAAAAAAATAATTTTTTAATATTTTTTAACCTTTTTCCGCAGTAACAACTTTTATTATTATTCTTCCACGTCAAATTTTATTGAATGATTTCAATCTAATTAAATCTCTTTAAAATACTTTCAATTATATTTCAAACAAATTTTAATAAATATTTTATCTCACTTAAAATCTCCAAATATTTTAAATATATTATTTTATTTCCAGTACTAATAGATAATACCATAATAGGTAAATGATTTCGATTAAACATTATTTAATAATTCCAATCAAATTTTAATAAATATTTTATCTCACTTAAAATCTCCAAATATTTTAAATATACTATTTTATTTCCTAATAAATAATACAATAATATTCCACGTAAATTTAATTATTAGTTAATTACATTATCTAATTTAATAATCAAATATTAAAATTATAATATAATTGTGAAACTTTATTAAGTTAATTTTTCATCAATGACACAAGAAAAATATCTTTCTTTTTTTCATTCAATGTATCATAACCAGCCTCGTGCCATATGGATAATTTTGGTTTTATAATAAAATAATTTTTTTCTTCATCATATATATATATATATATATATATATATATATATATATATATAATAGGTATTTTGATAATTTTTTATTATAATTTAAGATGTATTATTCTAATATAGATTATGACAATGAGAAACAAATATCTTATAATTATAATCTAAATAATTCTTGATTATAAAATTATTATGAATAGTATATTAAAATTGGACATAATATCAATACATATTTGACAATATTCATTAATATATCTCATTTATTAAATTACATCCATAAATTATATACATTTATAAGTGATATCCATTAATATGTCTTAGAGATTGCAATAGGAAATCTAGAATTTTACATAGTTATGGATGATATAATTTATTTAAATTAAAGTTCTTACTATTTTAGTTATTGAAATATTAATTATTATGTCACTTGTTATAAGTATTTATCATAGTTATGTGTGAGTGAGTCAAAAATATTTGTTGAATTATTGGCAATCGTACCAAATTTATCAATTGTAGTATAGTATTTCGATTAAATAAAAGTCGATCTCACGAGGAACGGTTTCAATAGAAATTCTCAGTTATATGTTTACTAAGTGGATTAAAACAAAATAGGTTTTTCATAAAGAGTTGAATTGAAATTAAATAACAAAGAACTATAAATTATTTAGAAAAGGTCAATTAAAGACACTTAGGATTAGCTTCTTTCCTTTTCCCTCTTTTGTAATGACTATATCCAATTAAGATCATCAATTAACCTAACAATGCTGATGTCATCTACTCAAATCATCCATGTTGATTTTTCACACATGAAATTCATAAGAAAACCTAATAAATATTGATTTCGCACACAATTAAGAGATTTTCCAGCATTAGTGTTAGGGTGTTAAGCAATTGATACATTCATTTCATTCATAACAATTAACGTAACAAATATTCTTACCGTGATCTAGGGTTCAAGATATATTTTTCAATTATATCCAAAATATCGAGAATAAATCATTCCAAGGCACAGAAGATAAGAATAACAACATCAAAACATAGATTAATATCTCAAAATATCACCATGATATAAAAGAGTTCAAAGGAAGTGCACACAATCCCAAGAGAATGAAGTTAGCCACTCATGGTGGCCATTACAATGCTCCAAATGAAGAATTGATGAAGATTGGATGAAACCCTAGCAGTAGTCGCGCCTCTTCTCTCCAAAATCACCTCCTTTTTCTCAAACACATATTATCTTTTTATAGGAGAATTTTGGGTCTCGCGTTTTTCGCTAAAGCGAAAATGTTCGCTCAAGCAAAAGTTGAGTATTTTCGCTCAAGCGGAAAAGTGCTCAGTTGAGCGATTGAGTTCCAAAGAATTTTAACTAATTTTCGCTCAAGCGAAAATAATGGCGCTTGAGCGAATGAATTCCAGAGAGTTTTAATTAAATTTCACTCAAGCGAGAGTCTATCTCGCTCGAGAGACTTCCATGTTGAAAATCTTCTTCCTCTTTTCGTTTTTTACTTCAATTATATTGACAATTATGCTCCTTGCTTTTGTATCAAGGTATTCTCGAATTCATCCTATCAAGGTATTATTAGAATTGACATAAGTTAAGTGATTTTATAACAATTAAATGCATAATTATATCTTTTTATCACTTAACAACTCCCCCCAACTTAGAATCTAGTTTGTCCCAAGCAAAGTAATTTTTCCAAAACAAAATCATCACATATTATCACTTTCTCTTCCAGAACCACAACATAAAAATAAAAATATTTTTCTTCCAAATACGATGCTCACAACTTCAAATAAAAATAGGATATATAAGCATTAAAATTATAGAAACTAACAAAGGATAATTAGTCATCAACTATCCTTAGAGAAGCCTGATCTCTCAAATAAAATGATAAATAATCATCTTTAACTCTCACAGGTAAGTGTTTATCTCATTCAATCACTTCATTTAAATAATCTAATATTGATAATCATCTCAAGCAATCAACATTTGTTAAGCAAGACTTAAATCAAAAGGTCTTTTAAGGCTTGTAATGGGGCTGGGCTAAGAAGGAACTCATTAGTTTTTCTGGGATATACAAAAGTATTTGAGAAATTCAAATCATATGAATGCTTCCTGATTAACATTTCCTCAAGTTGAGTCTCAGACTTCATGCTTTTGCTCCAACATCAAGATAGTGCATTAACAATCTCACCAGTTATCATTCACACCACTTTGAATTTCTTTTTCCTTTCTTCATGCTTTGCATTTGTCACTTTAGCTTAGCCTCAATATTTATACTTT